TGATATTTTTTTTTGTCTGGCCCTGGACTACACCCTACATTGTGATTGGTATGTATCTTGCAGGGACTTGTCAATAGACACGCAAATGAGGTGAGTTGTAACCATACTATGTAAATGAAGTGTCTATGGCTCACAAGAGGGGATTGGTCTGTACAAGGCCCTGCTGTGAGTTCCATGCCTTGAAATTGACAAGAGTTTTGTGTAGTTAGGCAGCCAGCCCCACAGAGGTTTTTGAGACATAGGAAGTAAGATGAAAAGTTGAAGTAGGAAATAAGTAGAGAGGAGGTGAAGAATCTGCTAAAAAATTGTAATGGGTGGTGCAGCTGTTGGTCTCTCCATATAGGGGAAAAAAGAAGAGAGATGAGAATTGAAGATGCTTAGAATCAATTCGTTCAACAGACTAATGGGCCATGTGAACATCCATCTCCACGAATCTGTGACCAGAACTGGATGGCATCTGGCTACCACTCCCAATTGCTCTGAAAGGCCTGGATAGAGTGGGAGAAAATGTGGAACAAAATTCAAAGTTATTTTTTAAAAAGACTGGAGGAAACTGAGACTATGACCCTTGACCACCCTTTGGGTCTGGTAAGTAATTCATCTTGTGGCACAATTTTCAGTCAAGCAGCAGATATGCGGGTGCTGGGGGGCAACAACACTAGTAAGGTAGGCTCACCATGAAGTGGTCAATCATTCAAAACAAAGAGGCAACATTAACTAAAGACAAAGTTGAGAAGGGATGGGAAGTGGAGGGTATAGAAATAGGAACCACGCGGAGGAAGTGGTTGCATGGAAGGGATCTCAATCGTTGAGATGAAACAAAGTGTTTGTTGTTATTGTTGTTATGTGCTGTGGAGTCGGTTCCGACTCATAGCGACCCTGCGCAGGGTTTCCGAGGCTGTAAATCTTTAGGGGAGCAGAAAGCCTCATCTTTCTCCCACGGAACAGCTGTTAGTTTCGAACTGCTGACCTTGAGGTTCACAGCCCGATTCGTAACCACTACGCTACCAGAGCTCCTTGAAATAAAGTGTAGGATTTGTTAAATGTATAACTAATGATCTTGTCTTCAGTTCACAATAAAAAGTTAAAAAAAAAAAAAATTGTAATGTGATTCAAAGACTGTAACAGTGAAGACAGCGAGAAGCCCAGAAAGAGTCCGGCAGCAGATACAACAGCAAGAGGCTTGGAAGGGGCCCTACAGCACAGGTGGTGGTGACAGGTGGCTTTTCTCAGGGGGCTGAGACAAAGCCTGAAGGATCAAGAGGAGCTGAGACAGTCCTGCTGAAGATAGGTGACTTTGCCTACAAGCTTCTTGATCCTGATCCTACCTTGTACCCTATTCCTTAGTAAATCATTTAACTGTAAGGGTAATTTGTAAAGTCTGTGTGGCCATGGCAAACTCCCCCCCCCCATCCAGAAGGGGAGGAGAGAGTGCTGTGGGAGGGAGAGTGGTGTCAGAACTAGTTAAAAGGTTGGATGAGTCAAGGTAAGTCTGACGTCCAGGGATCAACGCTACTGGGAACACTGGTATGCCCTTCATTTTACACTCATTCAGAGAGAAACTCAACTTACGGAATAGTTATCAAAAGCTTTGCTATTTTGGTACGAAGTACCCACTTCTCTAGGATGACCAACTGACCCGATTTGCCTGGGATTTTCTTGGTTCCAGTACGAAAAGCTTCATGTCCTAGAAAACCCCTGGGGGAACAAACTGGGACAGTTGGTCACCTGGTATTGGGTGCCAGGCACAATCCTACTATCACATCATTTTATCCACGGCCTCTCTCAAGAGTAGGTCTGCTTGTCCCCATCTTGCACACAGGGATACAGGCTCAGAGAAGTTAAGTTCCTTGTGGAGCCAAATTTGGTACCAAGTCTGCCAGACTCAAAGCACTGGTGTCTTCCAGCGCTGTGGACCTGACTCCCTAGTTGCCCAGCTCTAAGTGCCATCGAGGCAGTTCTGACTCACAGCCACCCTGTGTAGGGTTTTCAAGGAGTGGCTGCCTTGCAGTCCAGCACATTAACTCAAAGCAAGACACCAAGACTCAGCTCTGGTTTCGGGAAAGGCAAATTCTTGGGCTTCATAGTTAGACTCCAGGGCACAAGCCAGCAGGAGCATCTAGGTGGGGCTCTGCTGCCCTCTGGTGGCAGAGATGCAGCACTCCAGGTCTTAATACACTCCTGTAGGGGCAGCCTGTGGTGTGGGAGAGGGAACTGATAAGGAGTCTCAGTCCTACGATTTGTTGCAGTTAGTTGTCACCAAATTGCTCTCGACTCACATGTGTACAGGGTAAAAACTCCACACAAACACACACGCAAAAAAAAGTCTCAAGGCTGTGACCTTTTTGAAACAGATTGCCAAGCCTGTCTTCCGAGGCACCTTGGATGGATTTGAATCACCAACCTTTTGGCAAGTAGTCAAGACCATGCCTTATGAGGGCATCACATAAAGGTCTCCCACCAGAGTCTGTTTGGTTCATCCATCTGTGAGTGCACACCCACTCAGACCACCACAGATCCAAGGTCAGATGCTAGGTTTGACACTGTGTGACCCTGAGCCAGACACTTAGCCCTCTGGGTGTTGGTCTCCTTGTATGAGAAATCAAATGATAAATATGTCCAACACACATAGAGCAGCCTAGCCATTGAGGCTGTTTCACCAGCTCCTTTGTATTCCTCCCACCTTTGTGCATTCATTCACTTAACTAATTCATTTAACTTTCCATTCAGCAGCTCTCTGCCAAGCGCCAGCTCTGCCAGACCCTGAGCTGGAGGTGCCAGGAAGATGCCGGCCCGGCCTTCCTGGCTCTGTAACTTTCTGCTGATCCATTGACTCTTGTGTTATCCATTGTCCTACACTTACGGCTTATTCAGTCTTTCCCACACTTGCTTGTTCATTCATTCTCCGAATCATCTCTTTGACACATTCATTCACGTGTTTATTTCTCTGGCAGCTGTGAACTCCTTCCCTCCTCATCCCTCTTCCTCCTCAAGGAGCTCTCTGGCTGGTGAAGAGGCAGATGGTGAGGAAATGCTGAAGTAACTGCCACACTAGCCATCAGGACCACACCAGAGCGGCGGAAACACAAAGAAGGAAGCAGGAAGGGCAGGCAGAGAAGTTTCGAAGAGGAAGTGGGGCATCTCAGACAGCTATGGAGAGTGTGTGGGAGTTCTTTGGGGAGAAACAGACTCTGCAGGTAAAGTTGCATGGCATATATGGGGAGAAAAACGAGGTGCCCAGGTTCCTGGGGGATGTGCTTAGGATGAATATGTGTCCTCTGTCCCCACCCAAGGCAAGCCCTTCCCAGGTTCCAGCAGCAGGTGGGCCACTCAAGGATTTATCCTGATTCATCACCTTTGGTCTTTCCAGAAATCCACCAGGCAGTCAGGACTGCCCTTAAGAGCTAATACAGCACCCACCAGATGCTCTCTACCTGACTGCCCATCTGTCCTGCTGGGGACACTGTAGGAGAGCTGTCCTGGTCAAGCAGGCTGAGTGGACGGCAACAGCAGCTGCTGCATGAAGGTCCTATATCCATCCAGAAAATGTGAATTGAATGATTTGCTGTGATCCAGTCCTTGCACCAGACACTAGCGGATAGAGCAGAGGACAGAACCACTTCCATTCTCTAAAGCCAAAAAGATGCTGAAACCATAGTCTTGGAGTTGATTCCAACTCATAGCAACTCTACAGGACAAAGTGGAACTGCTTCGGAGGGTTTCTGAGACTTTCCATCTTTAAGGGAGCAGTCTCATCTTTCTCCTGCAGAGTGACTGGTGGATTTGAACCGCGGACCTTGTGGTTTGCAGCCCAGCGCTTAACCCACGGCGTCACCAGGGCTCCTTTTCCGCTCAATGAGATGACAAAGGATAAACAAGAAAACCTGTGTCAGTAAAGACCTCCAGGAACTCATCTGTAGTCGTGCAGGAACTACAAGGAGGAAAATGCCACTGATCCTCAAGATATAACTATGGGATGGGGGCTTGTGTTAGGTGATTTGGGGAAGGGTTCTAGTAACCGGCCTTTTACTTTGGATTATATGCTGTCAGGAGTCCTGGTGTGGCGCTGTAGGATAAGCGCAGGAACGCAAGGTTGGTTTGAACCACACGGTCGTCAGTTCAAACTCACCAGAAACCCTATACTGGGTCTCTATGTTGGAAGCGACTCTACGGCACTTAACAAGAGCAACATAAACTCCCAAGAATCAGAAGTTCCGTAACTGGATATCAATAAATATCTCAAGTGAGAGGAATGAGTCGAGGTTAAAGGTATAAAGAAACATCGGTCACTCATTAGCCAGAATGGGCAGATGTTGGGCCTTATACAGGTTAGAGTAGTATTCCTGTTTTTGACTGAGTTCAAATATGGGTACAGAGCAGTCTTGTTTATGCCTTGATCCACTATGGTCACAGAGTGGCCTTGTGTGATGCTAATGTCCTGGGGGAATGGATTATCTGGATCCAGAAGGAAACACCAAGGCTTCCAGAGGAGAAGGGTTTCTTGGCTTTCTAGTAAAAAAAAGCTCATTCACTCAGCCAAGATCAATTTGTTGGGTGCCAGGCGTAGAGTAATTCGAGGTGGGCACTGGCGATATGGCCCTGGTCCTTCCGTAGCTCTGCCTTCAATAAAGGAACGGAAGGCGTGGGGACCAGACAAAGGCCCGGAGGTGGAAGGACCGCGGGAGAAGATGCTGAAAGCTGCGGCGCCATAAAGCTTTCGGAAGGCGGCATAGGCCGCCAGGGGCTGGATCACTCGGAGCCACAGAGCCACCTCTTGCCCTAGGAACGCTGGCGGCAGCTGCACTGATTTGTTCTGAAACAGGAAATGAATCAACCAGTTTTGCTCAAAATAGCCCGCACTGGCGTCGGGCTCATGAATATTCAGTAGATTCCGTCTGGCTGGCGCCCCGCCCTAACCCTGCCTTGAGTCGTTGCGCGTGACTCTGTCGTCATCCGTGCGCGCCGCTGCTGCCTGCTAGGCAAACAGGAAGGCTGCTGCTATGGCGAGCTCAGCCGCTCCCGCGGTGCGACAGCCCAGGCCCAAAAAAGAGCCGCAGGCGCTCGTCATCCCCAAGACGGCGGCGGAGGAGCAAAAGCTCAAACTGGAACGGCTCATGAAGAACCCGGTGAGACGAGGCGCACTCCCACACCCTTCCGCCCACCTGCCCACCCACCTCCGCCGTCAAATTTGAACTCAGAACCCGAGCCCCCAGGACCTAAGGCTGTGCGGTTAGGACGGCGTAGTCCGCCCCGCAGGTAGTGAGCTTCCCATAGGTCCTCATGTTGGATCTCCTCCCACTGTGTTGCGGCTTCCCTGTGATAAAGTTGAACTTTGAACAAAAGCTTTCGACTGAAAACAGAAGTTGCGTATTAGCCCAAGGGTTTATTTTCTTCCAAACTGCACCGGTAGTTAGGCATCAGCCGAAAAACATTGGACAAGTCACTCCCAGATCGAGCCTCAGCCCCCTCAAAAATAAAAAGCATTGGATGAGAATGTCTCTTAGGATTTGGACTGGAAAGGGTTGGCTCTCCCTTAGTGGTGTTTGAGTTAGGGGTTTATAGCCCTGACCGGACTCCTGGTGCGACGCTACAGAATAAGTTGTTGTTAAGCCCCATGGAGTCAGTTTTGACTCACAGCAACCCTGTATAGGGTTTCCAAGGGGCGAGTGGTGAGCTTGAACCGCCGGCCTTAAGGTTCAAATCGACCTTGCGCATTAACCCACAGCGCCACACCAGGACTCCGTAAGTACTGGACTACTAATTGCAAGGTCGGCAGTTCAAAGCCACCAGCTGCCCCTCAGAAACTCATACAGGGTCATTATGAGTCGGAATCGACTCGAGGGCACTTTACAGTAACAGGTGTAACATAATAGGTGACCTGCTTTCCTGGGTTCTGCCCAGAAGAAATAAGTAGAGCCCTGGCAAGGTTGTGAGTTGTAAATGGCCCCAGAGGATACAGGATGAAGTACAGCCAAGACAGGGAAGAACAGAAAAGCAACTCTGGGTCAAAGGAGCAGAACTATGTGCTTCGCCTTCTTAGTTAACACTCTCTGGTTTTAGGAGATTTAACTTTGTCAGCAAGGTCGTTCTTATACATGCCTTTGTTTTAAAACATTGTGTTTAAATGTTGCAGGACAAATCTGTTCCAATTCCAGAAAAGATGAATGAATGGGCACCTCGACCTCCCCCAGAATTTGTCAGAGATGTTATGGGTAATGTCTTTCAGTAAATATCACTTTGAAAGCATAGCTAGATATATTCCGTTGATATTTGATTTCTGATAGGGAAAAGAAGATAAGAAATTGTTGCTTATGGTTTGGTATTAGAGTATTTTCTCCTGCATTATTCCTAATAAAGTATTGATTTTTTAATGTTTTGTTTGTTTTGATTTGCTGTGGGTCATCTTTGTGCCTGCTGACCCATTTCTCTTGTTACTTGGCACATACCTGTCCACATCTGTTGTTAATTCCCATCATGTCAGTTGTAACTCACAATGACATTGTGTGTGCAGACTAGAATTGCTCAGGATGGGGTTTTAAGGCTGTGTGACATTTTAGAAGAGATTGTCAGGCCTGTCTTCCAAGGCACCTCTTGATGGATTTGAATTGCCAGACTTTTGACTGTTGGTCTAGTGCTTGTTGTGATGTGCTGTGGAGTCGGTTCCGACTCATAGTGACCCTGTACAGGGTTTCCGAGGCTATAAATCGTTACCGTAGTAGAAAGCCTCATCTTTCTCCTGCGGAACAGCTATTAGTTTCGAACTGCTGACCTTGCAGTTCGCAGCCCGATTCGTAACCACGACGCTACCAGAGCTCCTTGGTCTAGGGCTTATACACGTGCAATTCCTAAGGGAAGCATGACAGAAACAAATATTAGTGGGTTGTAAATGGACGTGTGTTTTACTGTTGTAGAGCAGTTCTAGTCTGCATGTAACGGGTCTAGGGTTTCTCTGAGTCGAGACTGTCTCAACAGTGGTGCCTTTTGCCTTCGGAATCTCAATAATTAAAGCCCTTCAAGATTAAGAAAACAATGTTTTTACAAAACTTGGGTTGTTTTACATACACTGTTTTGTAACCTACTTTTTTCACTTAATATGTCGTGAGCATGTTTTAACTCAATAGAAATCTATCATGCCAGATGTGGGATCTTCACAGGCTGGCTCCAAGTTCCTTGTCACTGAACCACAGTCTCCTCTTCCTCTAATTCTGTTTTGGAGTGGAATTTCCAGGGACTTTGCACTCAGCATTCATGCAACAAATCTTTAATGATGCCTGTGATATGTCAGGGAACACAATGGCTCTGTAGGATAAGCACTATGGCCTGTGAACCATACCATCTGCAGTTCAAGCCCACTAGCTGCTCCATGGCAGAAAAGGGAGACTTTCTGCTCCTGCAAAGATTTACAGCCTCGGAAAACCTCCAGGTGATCACTGTGAGTCAGAACCAACTTGACAGCACTTAACAGTCGCATGATATGCCAGGCACTGAGATGCGACCTTCTGCTGTGGTAAAGATTTAGAGCTTCAGAAACCCTACACAGGGTCACTATGAGTCGTAACCGACTCCACGGCACATAACCACCACCATGCTAGGTTCTGGGGTATAATATGGAAAAAAGCAGGCCTGGTCCCTCCCATTACTTCCAACTTCTTTGTTTAGTCTCTCTGGTTAAAGGTAGACTGCATTGATAACTGGATTTTGTCATGAACTCTGGACTGTCCTGGCTGTAGGTTCAAGTGCTGGGGCCGGCAGCGGGGAGTTCCACGTGTACAGGCACCTGCGTCGCCGAGAATACCAGCGACAGGACTACATGGATGCCATGGCTGAGAAGGTTGGTGAGGGAGGAGGTGGGCTGAGTCGGTGGGTTTGAACAGTGTGTACTCAGAGCCTTTAGAAACCAGTGTTCTGAGACGAGTAGTTACAGTTGGCGCCACCTAGGCAGAGACTCCCGTACAGTGTTTGCATGGAAAGCAGACGTCAGGCAGTTAGGTGGTTCTTTTGTCAGTTTCAGCACAGCAGCATGCTCCCTGAAAGCAGAAAGTAAGAGGGAGATGCCCTGTTCCCATCCTGACCATGAAGTGGAATGACAAGCAGGGTTTCCCACAAACATCTTTGCAAAAACGACATGGGGGTGGCAGCTGACCTCCTTTCGTTTCACCAGGGGGTGAAAGAGTCAGCATCAGTTGCCCAACACACGGGTGCATCATAACAGCAATGAGAGCTCAGCTTACACCTGCGTTACGAGCAAAGCTGCAGAAAACAACAGATGCTGGCAAGGGTGTGGAGAGACTGGGGGCAGAAGTCAGACATGCCTATACCCGCCAACCTTTTTGCCACTTTTGACACCAGCTGTCCTTGTTACGGCACTCTCTACCTCCCCGCTGGGTTTGATCATTGCAGTGGCCACGCAGAACTCAACGACAATACTCAAAATTACAGGGTTTGTTAGGAAAGGAATCCCCTACAGTTCAGCTTCAGAAGCAAATCAAAATACAGTCCTGTGATCAAGAAAGTGTCTTCTCAGCGAGGCCCATGGGCTAGTCTCTTTCTAGCCCTCAGTCTGTTGGCCTCGCAGCCTCTGCCCTGCTCGACCAAGTGTTATAAAGCTTTCTGTTGTTAAGTGCTGTCGAGTTGGTCCCGACTCATAGCGACCTTGTATAGATTTCCGAGGAGCGGCTGGTGGGTTTGAACTGCTGACCTTGCGTTTCAGTGCTTTATTCTCCAGTGCCACACCAAGACTCCACAAAACTCTTTAGCTCCAATAAGTATCTGGAGGTGCCCCACTCTGCCACAGAATTGTCAGCTCTTAACTACAGGGTCAGCAAACCAGTCACCCTAGATAACTGCCCAGAGTCACGCCACTTCGCTAGCAAACCTCCTGCCCCGGAGCATTCAGTTGCCTTACTCCCGCGGGCCAGGAAAGCCACCTGTCTGCCTCTTAGCTTGCCATTTCTCACCCCCACTGGTGTTACCGTTCCGTCTGCTGGATCGACGGGGTTCAGCTCAGGGGTCTCAGATCTAAAAGACTTGCTGTACTCCTGCCTCCTCCTCCTTGGTGGTAGTGAGCCCCCTTTATGCTTCTAGCTTTCACGCTCATGGTGGGATGGCAAAACTAACCAGGCCCCACATTAGAATTCCATGTACCTTATTTGTGGGGCCCCACCCCACAGGGGATTTACATACCTTATTTTCTATTTGTGAATATCGGAGTCCTGGTGTGGCACTGTGGGCTAATGCACTGGACTGCAAAGTTGTCTTGAACCCCAAGATTGCCAGTTCAAGGTCACCAGCTGCTCCTTGAAACCTTTAACGGGGTCGTTATTAGTCGAATTCGACTTGATGGCACTTAATAACAACAATAACCCAGTCATTGGAGCCCTGGTATGGTGCTGTATGATAAACAGTGGACCACAATATCAGTTTGAACCGCAAAGTCAGCAGTTCAAACTCACCAGCCATTTACACAGGGTTGCTATGAACTGACTGGCATCACTTAACAGCAAAAACCCAGTCAGTTCAGTCTTGGTATGGTGCTATAGGGCAAGCACTGGACTGCTGACCACGGGTCGGCCATGCAAACCCACCAACCACTCCTCAGAAACCCAACTCATTTACAACAACCATCCCCACCCAGTCATGTGGTGGGAGTTAGGAGGCAGGCTGGAAGGACCACATTAAGTAGTTCACTGCATTGCATTTCTGGCCAGTTTCCCTCTCTGTCCTTTGGTTTAGGCCGAATGTTTCACCCCAGTTAGCTCTGTGTTGTGTGCGAGCACTGGTGTGCTTTTGCGTGTTTGCGTCTTTGAGAAGTTGGGTTTTCTAGCTTTCATGCTGGCATTTCTTTATGGTGGTTATCAAATAATAACTGGGGTTTTATTTTGTTTGTTCTTAAAATTACCCTCCCTTCCCTTTGACTCCTTTTAAAATATTTGTTAAATGCTGTCAAGTCGGTTCTGACTCATAGCAACCTTGTGTAGTTCTGGTGTGGCGCTGTGGGCTAATGCGTCAGACTGCAAGGTCAGTGTTTCAAGCTCACCAGCTGCTCCTTGGAAACACTATAAAGGGACGCTGTGGGTCGGAATCGACTTGACGGCACTTCACAACAACAACATCTTTGGAAGAGCAAAAAAGTCTCATGTTTCTCCCTCAGAGCAGGTGGTGGGCTCAAACCATCTACTTTGTGGTTTGCAATCTAATGTTTATCATACAGACCCACCACACTCCTGTTTTAAAATAGTTGTTGTTACGTGCCATCAAGTCGATTCCAACTCATGGTGACTCTGTGTAGGATTTCCAAGGAGCACCTGGTAGGTGTGAGCTGCTGACTTTGTGGTTTGCAGTCCAGTGCTGGTCCTGTAAAATAGTCATAACTTACAGTATGTGCCCTTTTGTGATTGCCATTTCGCTCAGGGTAATGTCCTCCAGGTGCATCCGCATTCTGAGTTGCTTTGCATCATTCTTCAGCACTGTGTGGTGTTAATTGTGTATATACACACTGTAGTTTGTTTTCTCTTCCTTTAATGGGTGTTGAAGTCGTTTTCATCTTTTTGCTGTTGTAAGTAGTGCTGCTATGAACATGGTGATGGTGGCTGTGTGCCCTGGAGTCGGTTCCGACTCATAGCGACCCTGTACAGGGCTTCTGAGGCTGTAAATCTTTATGGGAGCAGAAAGCCTCATCTTTCTCCCATGGAGCAGCTGGTAGTTTTGAACTGCTGACCTTGCAGTTTGCAGCCCAATTCGTAACCACTACGCTACCAGAGCGCCTTGTTATGAACATGGGTGTGTGTGTATTTAGTTAAGTCACGACTCTTACTTCTCTAGGATACATACGTAGTAGTGGAATTGCTGGGGTGGCGCTTAGGATCAGTACTGGACTGCCACGTGGGCACCAGCCACTGCTAAACGGGGTTTCTGTGACTCAGAACCCACTCAGCGGCACCTACCAACCACAATGGGATTGCAGGATTATACGTTCCTTCTGTTTCCAGCATTTTAACCAAATGCCATTGCACAGCCCACCTACAGTTTATGAGAGTTCCAGTCTCTCCACATCCTCACCAGTGTTTGTTTTCTGTTTTCTTGAACTCTGGTATTAATGCAGGTGGAAAATGATATGTCATTGTTGTTTTGTTACACATCTCTTTAATGGCTAATATATATTTATCGGCTGCCTGAATGTTTTCTTTGGTGATATGTTTGTTCATGTCCTCTGCCTGTTTTTTAATTGGATTATTTGTCTTTTGTTGAGGTTTGAATGTTTCCTATAAAGTTTATAGAATAATCCCTTGTCTAATAACTTGCTGCCAAAATTTATTCCTTGTCCGTGGGTTCTCTTTTTCTTTTGGTGGAATCTTTTTTATTTATGTTTTATTGTGAATTGTGTGATAATCTACACGAGAGAACATCGGCTCTACATTCATTCCATCATCCATCATTTCGTTGGCATAGTTACCATCCTGTCCATGCATCCTCACCCAACCAAGGGGTGTACCCTGTAAACCTGCACGCCCCCTCCCACCACAGTCCTCAGCCCCTTTCCATCTCCTGATCCCGAGCCCCCAGCCCCACCATCTCTTGACGTTGTCTTTTCTGCCTCCATCCCCAGGCCTCACTGCCTCTCTGGGTAGGATTCCGCTCTTCGCTTTTCTCCATTGATGGTCCCAGGGTCCTCTGCTCCTAGACTGATAAATCAATCACTCCCCTCTTTGTTACAAAATGTCCATCTTTAGATTTCCAGCTCTCTCAATCAGTCTTGATAACAATTATTCACCATTGCATTACAAGAGACCCATCTATATTTCATTTCGTCAGCCCTTCCTGGACAGGCTGGACACCACTCACTGGAGAGTCTACCTTCCTCCATGCCCTCTGGATCTAGGTTCCCTCTTGAAAGCTTGTAAGTCAGTCACTTCTTGCCTTTGTATCCCACCCCCCATTTTGTGTAGCCAATGTCCAATTTGCCCATCCCTGTCTACCCTTTGTGTGGAGGGGTGGGTACAGTTCTTGCAGCAGGGACTTGTTTCCTCTTTTGAGCTACTGAGTTATAGGTGTAGGTTTGGTGAAATCTTTTGATGGGGATATAAGTGCCTGGTTTTGAGGAGGTCCCAGCCATCTAGTTTGTCTTCTGCTGTGTGTGTTTAGTTGTGTTTGATGCTACATTTAGGTCATACACTAGGGCCCGAGTTTATAAACTTTTTTTAAAAAAAAACTTTTTATTGTGAATTGAGTGAAGGTTAGTAGACAAGATCATCAGCTTTACATTCAACCAATCATATACTTTGTTTCATCCCAGTGATTACAGTCCCCTCCCTGTAACAACAGTTGTCCCGCTTCCTCCCTGTGGCTCTCCATTTACATCTTACATTTCACAAATGAACAAAGCAAACATACTTGATGTACACATTCAAAACAAAAAGTATGGGTTCATTTAAATGTACAGAGGGCATATTCTGTAAGCCAGCCTCCTGCCTGCAGACACACAGCCTTACTCAGTCATGGACCAAGAGCCCAAAGCTGCTCTTGCTCTCCACTCATGCTCTTCCTTCTTTATGGTCCTAGGATCCTCTGTTCCTAAAATGAAAGAGTAACTACTCCGCCCTGTTAGTTACACATCTTCTACAATTCCCGTTGTGACCATCACAGTTACTCACAATTGAATCATAAAATCCTGTCACCATCGTTGATCCCCAACCCCTTTCACTAGATCCATCTGGAAAAAAGGGAAACTATTCAGTGGGGATTCTTCTACCTTACCCTCCTTGTTTTGAAAGTAAGCAGACTCAGGAAAGCTTATAAGCCTGCCACTTTGAGCCTTCATAGCCCTCCATTTTT